GGGGGGGGGGAGGATGATGTTAATTAGATCCACTCAAGCCAATTTGTTGGTTTGTTTTTTGTTGGTCTTTAGGATTTTGGGAGGGGTTAGCAAAAGGCTTGAAAAGTTGATGAGGGATTTTTTGTTTTTTGGTGGGAGTCGGGAGAAGAGAAAAAGGACCATAGAGTTTAATTGGGAAGTAGCCAGTAGAAGCAAGAAGGTTGGTGGGTTAGGATTGGAGAATATCTAGGAAAGGAATGTGGTGTTTTACTTGCTAAATGGCTTTGGAGGTTGCCAAATGATAGGGACAAATTGTGGGCAAATATTATCAATATTCATGGTCTTGCAGCTGATGGCTGAGATGCTAGAGTGCAGTGCTGGCTTGAGCTACAAGAGCCTCTCCTTGGAAATCCATCCATGATATCCGTTCATCATTTTTGCCACATATCACGTATAACCCTTGCTTTGGTGATCTTGTTAAAATTTGGGATAATGTGTGGATGGGTAACTCAACGCTTAATGAGCAATTCCCTTCCATCCATGCAATCTCTAGTTGGAGGGAGGAGCCTATTGCTTCCTTTATGACCCCTTCTAGCTTTTTTTTTTTTTGAAGATAAATAAAAAATTATTAAAACAAGAAAAAACAAGCTACAAGGAAAGGTGATAAGCAATCACCCGAATGAAAAGAACACATCTAAAGGCCTTGTAAGCCAAACCCTCCCAACAAATCCAAAACCTCAAAAACCAAGCCCCAAAACAAGCAAAAAGAATCGACATGTAGACAGCAAAACAAACCACAAAGAAAAACCCATACAAAACCCAAATCAAACAGAACTACTTGTTAATTTTTTGACTACAATCTTCATGTTGTCTTATGTCTGCGCTTTTGTGTTTCCTTAATTTCTTGTTAGGTCCAAGGCCAAAAAAACCTCCTTTTATTCTTGCGAAAACCTTTGAAACTGGTACCTGCTATTGGCCTCTTATTGGGTTCCTTTGCTATTTTGTATCGATGAAAATTATTAGCTGGAATGTAAGAGGGTTAGGGAGTGCAAGGAAGRGAAGGGCGATCAAAGACCTACTCCGAAGGGAAAAACCTGATATTGTG